GGAGTACAAGAGTGAAGCCATTCTTAAAGAGGGGCTGCTGAGTATACATGCATAGTGTGCAATACACTATTGAGAAATTAAAAAGATGAATGAATGAATCACACTAAAGCACATAATCCAATAAAACATCCCCATGAATAAGTTTTGATTGATTTATTCTTGGAATGGGAAGTATTTTTTTTCCCTATGACAAGCAACATAATTATTAATGCAGCATCTTGTGAGTGATGTCATTCTTGAATACTTTTTTCTTTCTTTTTCCCTCTGATATATTTGTCTTGACTTCAGATTAGTCAGGAAGTCTTTAAAGTACAGAAATGCCTTTCATCTTTTTTCTTCTGCTGGAGACAATGTGTGGTTTTTACATAACAGGATGTTCAGTGTATGTTTTTAATACTGATATATTTATTAGTGTCTTCCAGTGATTCATGTTGAGCAAAGATATTCGTAATCTAAACACAGGAATCATGAACATTTTAATACTGGAATTTCCATTTTCCATGTCCTTTAACTCCTTTTACCCCTAATTGGGTGATATGGTCCCATACAGATATRATTAGACATGAAAAATTTAAATAAGAGCTTATATACACAGTCTGTCCTGTTCCAAAGTAGTTTCTTCAGCTTGCAGTTCATTAGGCAAGGGTGCCAGCCAAATGAGGGTACACTTCTTCAACAGAAGCCTAAGTAAAGCAACTCAAGAAGTACATACTTACAAGCAATGACAAAGGAGTGAGCAGGAGGGTGAGGCTGAGTAAATATCTGGATTGCATTTGGGGATTGTGACTTTTAGATACTTCTTGACCTGCTAAGGCTTGAGAAGTGACTGGCTGGATCCATTGAAAGATTTAGTGTTATAGGCATAAACTAGCTCTCCCATTCATGACTCAAATTTTAGAGCTTGCATCCCAAAATTTATATGAATTCTGGGTTATTCCTGAAGTGACAAGTAGCTTGTCATTATAGCTTTCTTTAAATATTTTCTATAAAACCCAAATGAAGARTTTGCAAAGAATTCATCAAAGGAAAGACTTCTTTGATGACATACAGATTCCTTTTCTTGGTACATCAGTGCTTATTGTTGTGTATAATCGTGAATGTAATTAGATGAGAAATAAGCCCAAATCTTATTAGAATTGGAAGAAAATACTTTTTAAAGCAAATACGTGAATGTGTGTGTGTGTGTGTGTGTGTGTGTGTGTGTATACCCAGTTTTGATGTTCAATTTTTAAAGGAAGATTCTTAATGTTTTTTTTTTAACTTACCTTATAACTTACCTTATCTTTGATATCCTTTGATGAATGTTACGGACATACTATATTATTTTTTAACTTTACAAGCTTTTTTTTTTTTTTTACCTAGGGTTGAGGTTGTAGCTCAGTGATAGAAACATTTGGCTAACGGGCTTGAGGCCCTGGGTTTAATCCAACTCCCAACCCCACAAAAATAAAGAAATGATTTATCTGATAAAAYAGGAAAAAATATTCACTGCTATTAGTTAACCATACAAAAATAGTCTTTAAACCATAATTAGAAGTTCATTATATGTTATTCTTTTTTAATGTTATCATATTCATAAAGATGAAATTTTTGCATAYATGTAATATCTAGTTACATTAAGTCTATTTAGAAGGGAAAACATTTGTAATTTATTTTTAACTAAAACTCCTTATGGAAAGTGGGAATAAATTCTTACTAGTTAATATTTTGAAGTATAGTATAAGACTAGAAAAGATTGTATAATTTAAAAGGGCTCAAAGATTAGGTAATGTCAGTTTAGTTCTACCTTTCACTAGGTCACGCCATAAAAATCATACAGCCTCTATACATCCTTTTCTCTTCTAATACTTTATAGTGCTATATTTCATACATGGACCACTATAATTCTAAACRTATGTATCTATTTATTTTTATTGGTTCTTTTTAGTTATACATAACAGTAGAATACATTTTGATATAATTATAAAAGCATGGAATATATCTTCTTCTAATTAAGTCCCCAGTACCTCTCCTTTCCTTTCCCTCCTTCCAGCTCCTGCTCCCTTCCCTCTACTCCACTGATCTTTCTATAAACATACAACTATGTTTGTAAATGTCTTAAATATGTTCTTAAATATGCAATTTGATTAATGCAAAGAATCTGAGTTTTACCTTCTATGTATTTTAGAATTCAGAGAGTTGTACTACATGAATAAAAGAAAAATATTACAAATACTATTAAAAATTAAAAATTTTACATTTTTATTCATACTATACATTAACCAAATGTTATTGAATACCCATTATATACCAGACATTTCTGTTAGACATCAAGGGCAGTTACAAAGTTCTGTAATCAAAAAGCTTCTATAGATGTTTTTAGGCTCCTAACAAGGTGTGCTGACTGCATGTGTTTCTTATCTTTATATATTTYATTTGCTAATCGAAAAGTGAATATACATAAAAATATGGGTGTCTGTTTTGTCTTGAAAAAAAATGAAATTATTCCTTGTATTCTTGCTTGTCAAAAATTCACTGAAATTTACAACTAATCTTCAATGTAGGATCGTTGATCTCCAGCTGATTATATGCAATTACCTCCTCCTCTTGCCTGCTTTTTCTTTCAATCTCCCATGTACAAACAAAAGAGCAGCTGGACAAATAGCTCACTTAAAGAAGCTATACTGAACTAAGTCTGCTGGAAAAGTTCTAATGTTAAAGCAAAGGTAGCCACCATGCATACTTAAAAAATGATTTTTTTTTTCAACATGTTGGCATAAATTTTAAGAAAAAATGAAAGACCTAACACACTAGTGAAAGTCTGGCTTGAAAGCCCCAACTTCATGTCATAAAGCTTTACTAAAAATATGGTATTCTACAAAGAACACAATATTTTCAGGTGATTTGTGTGCTTACTTTCATTATTATTGAGGACTGAGAATATCAGAAATATCTTTTGATTTATTAATGTTCGTTACTTCAAGCTAAACTTGAACGTGAAAAGTTTAGCCTTAAATTAATATACAAGGTTTAACTAAAGACATAAAGGGCATGAAGTAAAGTAGATTGTATACAGCCCTAGCAATATAAAAATGATTAGTTGTTACAAACAGGGAGTTAAAGAGTGTGGAAAATGTTAGGAAATGGACAGATATTAATGGCAAAAATGTTAGGAAATGGACAGATATTGCAATATCTTGATACAAGTTATGAGGGAAATAAAACAGTTGCTTAAATTTTATTTTGCCTTAAATGAAAACTACCTCCATGAATATATGATCTATGTTCCCACTCCCCCAAATTCTGTCTCAGAAATTCTAGAATCTGTATTTTTAATAAAGTATCTTATTCTGATTCAAATGGTTGCTAGTCATATTTGAGAAACATTAGAATATAGCTTGTTATAGACATCTGAAGCATGACTTTAAAATTCAGAAGTTTACATGTCCTTGGCAAGGACTATTGTAGCTTGAAGTAAAAGGTAATAAATGCCTCCAATGTTATGCTTGAGCATCCAGGAGAAGAATAATTCCATTAATAAAGATGAAGAACACTATGGTAAAATCAGATTTTGTAAGAAAGGAAATATATCACATGTACTCCTTCCTTCCTTCTTCCTCCATCTCTCCTTTACTTCTCCTTTCTTGCTAAATTTTATGTTGGACTATCTTGGGAGATCACAGAGAGTGGTGACATTAAATACCAACTTTCTTTCAAGTATGGTTTGGAATAGAGAGGTCTGTGTGTGGAAGATGGGAAATCCAAACAGCCACTTTATTATTGATAAATGCCAKCTGGAAGCAGGACACTTGGATGTGTCACAAATAGGTTTCCTCCCACAGGAACCCAGCATTACGATGCCTATTCCTGGCAGTTCTACCAGGCAGAAGCAACTGCATCATCCTGCTCTCTGCAAGCAGCTAAAAGACAGTGTCCTGTCCATCTCCCCCAAAATAGTCATTTACAAAGTTTTCACTGTAGATCCTGTACTTCTCACATACAAAAGTCAGAATTCAGTTAATGTGAATATTATTGTTATTGTCACTTGAGCATAAACTTTATGAAAGTAGAAACAAGTCTTATTTATTCACACTCCAATATCCAAAATTAGCATAGTCCCAAGCAAAAAGTAGGACAGCTAAAGGACTTGTTGAACAAATAAATTTTAAAAAATGTAAATATTAACTTATTCAAGTCAGATGTTTTCTTGTAAGTTAAATCTGCTCCAGCTGAAAATCCATGTTATTGGTGAAAAAGGCAAACAGGAAAGAAGAGAGCTTAACAAAGGATAGGGCCAAGCATTCAGTCTGAGTTGGACTTCTGTAAATGAAACAAACAGCTAGAACTGGGGCAGGCAAATTCTAGGCCACCTGTTTGCTAATTGACTTCACCAAAATTAAAAGGAATCCATCTTAGATTTTCACCAGTAAGAGGAGGTTTTCCAATCTGAAGGAGCTTGTGCTGAGGTTAGGCTCCAGTCCTCTCACAGAAACTGGGCGACAGAAGCACTGTTTTCCTTGTTTGAATTTCAAAGGAATGACTCACAGGTTCTTGAAACTTGGGGGCATTTTTAAAAAGATTTGCATTCCAAAGGAGCAGATAAAGAATTCAAAATTCTTTTTTTTTTTTTTTTTGGGGGGGGGGAGAGGAAGTCTGGGGCCTCCAAGCCAGAAAAAAACCTGAAATTTTTTCAATCAAGCCAAGGAAAAGCCACGAAGTTCACGTTCTGGTTGGTTTGCTGTATTTTTGCAGTTTTACACCAAGCAATTCAAATCATGCGCTTTCTCTCATGGTTTTGGCATGGAGTAGATGTACATCTTACACTTGTTTACTTTTTGTTACTCATCTTAAATCACCTCTTTCTCTACAGTAGAAAAAGCACCAAACACCCCTCAAGCATCTTCTCCTTTCCCCTTCCGTCAGGGCGTGTGCTCAATCTGCGGAGAGGCTGACGTCACTGACTGCGTCCCGCCCCTACATATTAGCAACCGAAGCGTCCGTAGCAGCAGTGGCTGCTGAGATGTACGAACTTCCGGTTCTCCCGGCAGCTGCTGCCTGCTCTGCAGCCGCTGCTGTCTCTGCCATCTGCTGTCCTCGGCCCTCAGCCCAGGATTTAATCACCATTTCTTCGTTACCCAGCGGGCCCATGGTCCCTCCTGGACCCAGGTTGGCGGGCCCGGCGGCTCCAGCGTGGTGAGAGTGAGGTCTGGGGACGATGAAGGCCCTGCACTGCTGCTGCTGTCTCCGCCGCCTCCTGGCCTCCTTCTTCCTCCTGCTGCTTCTGCCAGCGCTGAGCGGGCCGCTGGCGGTGTGGTTGCAGGCGGCCGAGGCCGCACAGGGCCCCGGGCCTCCAGACCCTGKCCAGCGGACCTTGCCACCGCTGTCCCGGGGCCCCACAGCTGCCCAGCCACCGGGCCATGCTCTGGCTGAAGCCTCAGGACCTCGAGGCACCGAAGGTGGCAATGGCAGCAGCCCCGGGGCGGGGCTTGCAGCAGAGGAAAACGGAGGAAAGGCYGGGGAAGGCTCAGTGGGTGGCGGCCTTGCCGTGAGCCCCAACCCTGGAGACAAGCCCATGACCCAGCGGGCCCTGACCGTGTTAATGGTGGTGAGCGGCGCGGTGCTGGTGTACTTCGTGGTCAGGACAGTCAGGTGAGGCGAAGCCTCGATGGGGCATTCCCCGCAGCTATTGCTGGGCAGACCAGTGACCTCCTTCCTTTCTCCGAGCGTCAGGGGCACTTAGCTCGGAGAATGTGCTATTAGTCCTGAAGGCCTGTGTTACCTTGGGGGAATTTAAACCTCCTAGTAGGTGCTGTCTTTTGTTTATAAATCAGCATTCTACCTCCAAATCTCTTCATCTTGCCTGAGGCTTGACTCAGCCTCAAAGGACACCTTTTTCCTGAAGTGGAAGTGATCTCATATTCCCTTGAATTTCCATGATCACACTATCTTGTAACACTTTTCTCTTTCTGCTTCATGCAATTTTAAGTAACTAACCCATCAAAAATTTGCTTATCAGAATGCAAACTCCTTTAGGTCAGAATCCCCATTTAAGTTTTTGTGTTCTTTATTCAGTGCTTCAGTGCTGCATTAATATAGTGTACAGGGCCTTATTGTAGGTATTTTATTTTTATATGATTTACAAGGGAAGTTCTTCTTTACCATCAGTGTTTTTTAGATCCTTAATCTGCACCTAAATAATTGGATTAAACCTAATTAGTTGGAAACCACCTCTCTGAAGAGTTAACATAAGCCAAGATCTTACCAGAAAGAGCCAGCCAAGAGAAGAGCTGAGAAAAAGCTATCAGTCAGTTTTATTCTCTATAAAATGGAAGTAGTGCATGAGTTTCCAGGGTTGTTTTCCAAACCACTTCATATTTTCCCCATATATATATATATATATATATATATATATATATATATATATATTTCTTCATGAATAGAAGAAAATGAACATCACTTAGCTCAAATAGCTGATTTAAGAAGGTACAGTGGAAGCCAGTGTTGCTGAATATGGATCCAGCATTCTATGGTCGAAGAACCATGGGAAATTGTTGGTTTCCCCTGAGACCTCTTTTGATATCTACAGTATTCAACTTTTCCAAATAATGCATTTTCTTATAAGTTTATAAAGGACAAACCATTCATTGCTATTATTTCAGATTCTACATTTCAGTTAACATTAAGAAACTATCTCTTGCCAAGTTTTGCTATAATATATATATAAAAAAGAATAACCATTAGTATCTGACAGGCTTTTAAAACACCCCTCCATTTACAAGTTCATATCTCTATATAACTGGACTTTCTCTATGTCCTACATCGAAACATCACTTTGCACGATTGAATTCAGAATAAGAAAATCTAGCACTTTCTATTTAATATCCATTCTTATTTTCTATCTACTCTCATTTTAAACCAGATATTAACAGAATTTGGAAAAAAAAACAGTGCCATTCTTTTCACCATTTTTATTTTTGTTTCTGAGAAGTTTTTACAAAAATATGTAAATTATAATTTATTATATTTTTCARATATTTAGTTTTTAGTTGTAGTTGGACAGAATACCTTTATTTTGCTTTTATATAGTACTGAGGATCGAACCCAGGGTCCCGCATGTCAAAGGTGARCACTCTACCACTGAGCTATAACCCTAGCCCCTATAATTTATTATTTTAAACCAATAACTATTTAAAAGTTTACTAAGGTTTAATTAATATATTAAATTTTAAAAAATATATATTTTTAGTTGTAGATGGACACAATACCTTTCTTTCACTTATTATTTTTTTCTTTTAATGTCCAGCTGAACATCGAACCCAGTGCCTCACACATGCTAGTTGAGCGCTCTACTACTGAGCCACAACCCCAGCCCAGTATATTAAATATCGATATACTCAATCTACATAAATAATAGTCCTTTGAAGGTCATTAATAATTTTTGAGAATGTAAAGGGATTCAAACCATTTGAAAATTACTGGTATAGTAATTATTGAACTAGATTCTGTTCATTCACAAAGACCATCAAATTTAGGCYAACACTATTATACAGGAATTAAAGTTGTTAAATTACCTATTATAGCAAGAATTAAGGGCATATTGCTATTTCATATGTATATATATGTGCATATTTACACACACACAATGGATAGTAGAATAATTTTCTAGGTGTTCTCTTAATTTTTTTTCCACTTTGGTTTATTTGTAATCTTAAATACAAGTGATTATCACCATTGATTTTCCTGTCTTCATTGCTGTAAAACTTGAAAATTACAGCCATTTCAATCAGATTCTATTGGATRATGCAACATCATATTGTATGAGAACTGCCAAATGCTGAACCATGGCTAATAAAAACTACATTCTTCACCCAGTATTTAACACATTCATATAGTCCAAGTTCTAAATTTAGTTGGCTACCTCAGGTCCAAAGCTTGATTGATGCTAACGATGTCTGGCCAATGTTCAGAGCCCACAATTTTTGTTTCCAGATTATGCTTTTCATTTTGGTGGATGCTCATTTTGGCCCCCGTTTCCAAAATATGTGCAACAGCGAATCAGCATTAGTTGTCTGTGCCAAGGGGGAAGAATATGCCAAAATTATCATTCCCTTTACTATTATGAGATGACACTGAGAATATTTTACTTGTRAAATTTTATGATATTGAACTCTGAGATTTCCAAATTGTCTTGGAATGTAATTCAGTTATATTTTTAACTGAAGAAGTATTTGGAAGAACAGTCAGTTGCTTTCCAGAGTAACTAAAAAATATATGCAAGGAACACTGGAGGGACAGAATAAATTTTCCAAGATAAACATAATGTCTATGAAAGAAGCTTATTTGTTTAATTCTTTACTATATGCCCAATGCTGAATAAAATATAGTGAGCACTGAATAAGTAGTTGCTGAATGAGTAAATATTCTTGGTTAATTCTTCATATTATTGTACAGTTAGATTATGAAGTTTAGAAATTTAGAGATAATTGCTACTTAGTGATAGAAGAAATAAGTATGAAGATCTTAATACTTACATTTCATTCCTCTTTGTGAAAGATTCTTACAGTGAAAATATATAAAATGTATAAAAATATATAAAGCTAAAACAAAATCACTTTAGAGGGCTGTTATTATTTTTGAGCATGCACATTGATTATATAAAAGCAATTTCTGGTATGAGTATGTGAAAATTGTCCATACTTTAAAAGCAGAGAATCATTTCTGTTTTCATACCATGTCACTGCTGCTTTTTCTTTTTTAATTCAGTATGGTGTATTGGAAAGACACCAATGCTGAGATTCCAACTCTTCCATTCTTTTACCTCTGTAATCTTTGACAAAAGTCACTTAACCTCTTCAATTTCAGAACCCTTCTTCTATGAAATGAGGATAAARGCTGTTTGATGTGGTATAGATGTGTGTAAAATTTAGCATCCATAGCCTTCATTCTGGCAATCAGTATTTATTCAGCTGCCTAATACTGTGCACTAGAGATATAGTTGTGGTGATAGGGATCAACATTTCTGTCTCCATGGTACTTGTATACTGGAGGAGCAGAGAGTCATTCATCAATCATACAGATAGTAAACATATAATGAAATGGTATCAAATTGCAGAATCGCAGATCCTCCTTATATAATCTTTCTCCATTCTACCTTCCTGTTTCCTTCCCAGCCTGTAGTGATTATGATTCTATTTTTTTGAGATCAACATTTTTAACTTCCACAGATGTGAGAATATGCCCTATTTGTCTTTTGTTCATTTAGTATAATGTTCTTCAAAATACAGATAGGAGGAATAAGTTGTAGTGTTTCACTGCATAGTAGGGGGCTGTGTTGATTACAACAATTTATTATATGTTTTATGGAATATTGGAAGAGAGACGTATGACAGCTCCAAAGACGAAGAAATGATAAGGACAAATACTAGTTTTGATTTCATCATTACATAGTGAATACTTGTATTAAACCATGACACTGTACCCATATATGAGTATATTTATTATGTTCCAAGTAAAAATTAAATTACAAAAATTTCATAAGAAAAAAATGCAGGTCCTATTAATACTTGTAGGAATAAAACTGTTTAATTTGATTATCCAAGCTGGTAAATGAAAGCATAATATTAGGTTTCTTTCAAAGAAACTTTCTTTGTAACTAAAACATTATTTTTGAGTTTTTATTGGCCATCTTAATAGCAAATAGTTATAAAAYATTAATTTGTCTCTGATATAATGCTACATATTTTATGTACATTTTTMAATTTAATTCTTGCAAAAACTTTTGAAATTGGTAATATATTCTTGAGATAACTGAGGCTGAGCAAGTTTAAATAGTTTGTCTAGGCATACCCATCTAGGATTTGCCTAAACCCAGATCTACTTGAACTTAGCAAGTTTAAATACTGGGCTTCTTCTTATGAGGAAAATAACTGATTTAAAGTMATATAACACATAAAAATGTCTAACATATGAAAAAAATGAACTGTGTAAAATAATGAGTTTTTGTTGAGTGACAAATAATAAACCTCCACATTTTACTGTTTTATAAAAATGATTCAACTTGAACATTTATCGATTATCATGTCTGTGTCAAGGTGAAATGATTTCTGATGCTATCTCCTCCCCTCATTCAAAGATTTTCTTAATTTGCTAGATGTAGTCAGAAATGGTAATATTTTAAAGCAACCTCTGTTATCTGATTATACATATATCTTCAATTCTTTCTGAAACCAGACATTAATAAATTATGTCTGTAGGACTGGTAACCATCTCTCTCCCATCTAGTTACTTAATTGTATGAGTTAAGAAATTAATTTTCTTCCAGAATTGTGATTTCAACATATAAAATCATGATATTTGATAGAAATTATTCAACTGCGCAAAAATGGACTACTTTGTCTACTTAGTCATTTGTGTATTTAGTCACTACTATTGATTTAGAAAATATTATTGGGCACCTAATGTGTATCAGTACCAGGCCCTGTGGCAAGGATTAGCTGCATATAGATGGGAAAGTCTTTGCAATTATGGATCTCTATTCTAGTTGTTTATGTATCCATGAAAATCGGAATTTTTCTACCAAGCATTGTCCTGTTTCTCCTTCATTTATACAGCTTGGCAATATATATTGAACATTTTATGTATAGACACCC